AAAACATAATTTTCATAATTTTGCATTTGCAGTATGTGATACAGCTAAAAATATAGATAAGTTTGTCGGTAATAAATGTTGACATCGTGTAGATCGTGTAGAAAATTAATGTTAATCGCATAAAATCAAGGTAAAATAGTAATGAATGTTGGACAAAAACTAAACACGCTGTTCTCTATATCGAAAACGAAAAAGTAAATTTACACATACTTATATAGTAATAAGACATAATGTGTGCTGAAATTCGGCTACTGCTTTTAAAATATGTTTCTTGTCACTCATAAATATAATTTCCTCTGGTGAACCCAAATTCCGTGAATAATTTTTGTTATGGTCATATTCTCATTAAAGTTACAATATTAATTCATAGAGCATACACTTAATGTGAATTACAAAGCACATTTACAAACATATGACTGTAAATGTTGTGTGTACGCGCGTGTGTCTATGTGTGCGTGTGATTTACTTTCTTCACGGAATAATATACACGAGCTTTGTATTTATATATAACTCAGAGTTTACCTAATTGCGTTGAACGAATGTACTATTCTGTGAAAATGAATATGTAATAATTTTTTGTTCAACACCTGGGTTCATATGGGGAGCATTAGTTACATAATTCAGTCGGAACGTTTGCATGCAACGTTCTGCATTCCAGTTCAAGCCCTTGCAGATGTGATTACAGAAAACATTATATTCAAGCGAATTTGATATACTGCTCTAGGCAAGTCACAGTTTTGTAAATATTGGGACAAAAGTCATATTTTTATTTTTTTTCTATAAAAAAATCAATACCACATCATCACAAAGTTGTTATCTTTGCCTATTACAAAATAGATTTATTCATTATGGCGGATTACTTAGTTGTAATACTTAGTTTTAACTGTTTGCTTTCAAAATACAAAATACATTATTATTGACATTGAAATTATTTTAATGACATTTTGTCAATAATTTGACATCATATTTGCCATGGAAAAATTAACGTGTCATTTTAGCTATGACAAACTGATTCGCCATTGGCGATTCACTTCGACGGCAAAGACGGGGGAGAAAATGCCTTTTAATGTCCCCATACCACAACAAAATGTTTTAATGACGTTTGCTCAGAATCCACAACTTACATGTGACAGTATGCACAATGTTATAACCATTTTGCAATATCGTTCGTTCCCATTGGACAAAATAACGTAGGCTAAGTAAGTGATGGTTGTTTATCTAACAACAAATTTAAAGTTAAAGTTTTATAATTTCAATGCCATGAAAGCCTTACTTTTTTTGGGTAACAAACGCGAACATTATTTACACTTGTATTACTTTATCAGTCGCCTATATAGTGTTCTATCATGTTTCTGTGCTTGTAAAATATTGTTCTAACTTGAACAATATCGAATTGTGGCGTTAAAAGACTTTTCGAGGGATGTTTTATTAATCTCTTACTACAAGTCGTTTACTTTGCAGAAGCGTGGATGATTGCATGATGTATCATGTATGTACGTTTCTCAAAATTCAAAATAAAAAGCAATTGTTGTATCAAATTATCATATCGTAACACTTAACGATTGTACTCAATGTAATGAACGCATATACACTCAGTATACCTACCACAAGACCTACAATGCTAGTACATACACCTTACCATATTAACATATTGTACTGCACTGAAAGCCACAAGATCATGAAAGTCAATAAAAATGTAACTAATTTAATTGTTTTTATTGTGCCATACTAAGGAGAATGTCATGTTTATTTATTGTGAATGTATTGTATAATCTAATTAGCTAAATTTTGAATAGGCTGTTTATCAATTTACATTGAATCACGAGTCATCACGTGATGCAGCAACAATTTCTGTGAAAATATTGTGTTCTTTATGACAAACTGACTTAAAAGCAGTGAGTGGACAATGAGTGATGCTGATAAAACTAAACTTGTAATCTAAAACGAGTTTCTTAATGCTCCTTCGACGAATCTTTGCGTTTAGGGAGAACGTAATAAGAACTAGTCATATTGAAACACTTTGCTATGATTTGTATGCTTTCTATGTGACTGCAACGATTTACAAATTTGAGAAATGTTATGGAGGGTAATTTGAACTGTATAGGCCCTTACAAGATCTCGAATGAAGAATACTCCTGCGAAGTTCTCTTTCCGAAGCCAGCAATGGTTAATCGCTCTGTAATCAGTTTACTGAACCACGAAATAATCTTACTAACAGCATGATGATTGACAGCATCATCAAGTACACCTATCTAAACAATATTGATCAATAATTGTTTGTCCCTGATTTGCGAATGGGCACGTATCATAACAACTTTTATGGAATATCTCGTTCGTGACATCTCAAATAACTATTCCACCAATGTATGCTTTGCTTAACAGTTGAAGTCCGATTACATTGTTGACAATAGCATTTCCACTACTTGTTATACAAAACACATTTCACACATTTCCTTTTATCAAATCGCGATTTAATTAACCTAAGTTTTTTTTAGTTTACCAAACTCCTTGCACAAGTTTGTTCTAATATTTACGACTCCTGCAGTTTCAAATGAAATAAAATAAAATAATTAATTGTTAAAATAATTAAAACCCCAAACAAACACACACACCACCTCGCTCTCAACGAAAGTTGTTTGTACATGTTTTCACTAAATTATAACTATAATGAAAGACCCGCTGAGCCAGATTTGTATAACAAACAATTTCTGCACGATGATGTTACAGCCGCAGACGAGCAGACTCAAATTCAATATTGAACTGGTGGGCATTCATTATTCTGATTACGATGTACCTCAGCTTTATAATCGCTTAATTGGTTGTACATACAAAACTCATCTGTCCTGTCGGCTGGCTATCTCTATAATCTGAAACTCAACAGATACAATTTTATGTGAAGAGCTGTGTTCTAATCCCTTTATATTAATATGCTTGTATTTTTGCGTCACAATAATCACTGAAATATATTAATTCCATGAGCTTTTGTTTTACGTCAAACTTTTGAATTTAGCATGCATGAGATGTAAAAGAGTAAAGCTATATCGTCTGATAATGTATACAATTACACAGTGAATGTCCATAGATGGGTAACGGCATGTTATA